AAAAAAAAAAAAAAAAAAAAAAAAAAAAAAAAAAAAAAAAAAAAAAAAAAACATGGCAGCGGACAAGAAAATGAAACATCAAACAGAAGCCCGAGTGTTAGTGACCGTAATTTTATTGGAGCACCAAAGAAAAATAATTAATCAATGGTGAGGGTGAGGCCTTTCAAGCGCCGCATACGAACGGGGTGAAGGAGGAACCATATCCTCAACAGAAGTAACCACAGCCTTATTAGCCGCCGTAGGAAGTGTACAGGGGACATAGTTGAAGGTGTTGGCTCGAGGGCAGCTCCTCGGCTTCGAGAAGAACGTGGCGCATTGGGCTGCAGTTTTTTGCAATCGGAACCCCGGAAGGCAGTTCCCTTGCACGTGGAGTCTTTGCGCTGTCACTAACTTTCGGCACTGTGGCCCGATTTGGGTGAAGTAGTTGTTGCTTAGAGTGATGTTGTAGACGTCCGGAAGCCTGCAGAGGGACTCTGGAATGGCTCCGTAGAACTGGTTGTTGGCTAAGTTTAGAATCTCCAAGCTAAATAAGCAGCCCAAGGACTGCGGGATTGGACCTGTCAAGATGTTTGAATTGGCGTCGAACACCGTGGCTTTTACCAGATATCCTATCTCGAAAGGCAGACATCCCGACAGCCTGTTTCTTAAGAACAGCACCTCCCGAAGAGTTCTCCAAGCTCGCCCGATGGTTGGAGGGATTGGACCTGTTCAAAACCATAGGAATCAATTAAATTAGAATCTGTAATTTCTCCCTCAATTTCTTAGGCTACGTGGCACAAAATTAAAATTTAAAGACTTAAATTAATTTAGATTGCATTTATGGACCAATCCGAAAATGATTTTCATATTAAAAATTAAAGGAGGACCTGTAAACTTGTTGCCAGCAAGTGTGATATACAGAGCGGGCGTGTTGCCGAAGGTGGCTTGCGGGATCCTCCCGGCGAAGCCATTGTTGTTGATGAAGAGGACGTCGGTATCGATGTTGAACAACCGATACGGAACCGAACCATTATAAGTATTGAAACGGAAGTCCACAAACGCCAATTTATTTGCTCCAAGGACGTATCCAGGGAACCCACCAAGGAACTTGTTGTTGCTCAAATCGAGCTCATACAGGAACCGCAATTTGTTAATATTGCGGTTGATAACGCCAGTGAAGTTGTTGGAATTAGCATGGAAGATGGCAATGTCGGGCAGGTTACGAATGAAGCGATAGAAGTTCAAGAAAGGGCCACCAAATCTAGCGCCACTGAAGTCGATGGAGGATAGGCCAGTGATGTTGAGGTCAGGAACCACGTCGCAGAAGAACCCTTTGAAGAGGCAGTAATTGTCGCCCACCCACGTTTTGGTGTACCCTAATGGGTCGTAAGTGATGTTTCTTTTGAGCTCATGGGTTATGAACAGGATTCTGTCCCGGTTGGCTAGAGGTCCCGGGTCGTTATTCGGGCGGCGAGGCATTAGGTTGATGCCCGGTGGGATCAGCGACGGCCTTGGCCGGATCCGCGTGATGGTGGGGTTCGGCCGTGGAGGTCCTGTTTGGGCAAGCCCATGCAGGAGGAACGAGGACTGTAAAACAACAAGGATGGTAAAAATCTTTAGCCACATTTTTTTTGTAACGAGACAAACAGAGGAGGGCTGTGTGAAAGGGGAAGCCGAGGCTACACCATTTTATAGTCAGAACAAAATTTGGATGTTCCCAATATTATATCGCCACGTGGAAATTCTTAATTTCTTTTGGAGCTTTGGTTGCAGCCTCCTAATAATATGATTATAAAAATGCATGGAGAGGAACGTGAAATCATTATCAACTTTTTAACAAATACTTTTCTTCTATCAACCCATTTCTTTTATTATAAAGAATCCAATTTAAAAAACAAAAAACATTGGTGGGTCAGGATCTCACATGATCAGCAAGACTTTTATTCCCAAACCCTGAACAGCTCTTCCTTTTAATTCCTTTACGCTCCATTAACCCTACTCCGTATTGGGGCGGATAAAAAGACAGCCGAGTGCTATGGCCCCCCAACATTGCATCGACCAACCCACTTTCACTTTCACTTTCTTATTTATTCATTTATTTTTGTATACAAGGGAGGGTTTATATTATAACTTATCACGAACCCAATAGCTAATTAGGCTTTACAGTACAAGAGATGTGAGTTGCTATCCAATTAAATGCATCATGCTTTTCTTTCTAAGTTGATCTCACATTCTAGTAAGTTATATGTTCATCGAGGCTCTTCTTTTTTTCTTCTTTTTTAGAGCAAATGACGAGAGACATCCTACTACATGGGCTCCTTAAATTTATTAGAATTATATTAATATAAAAGAAAGGTATCCATTGCAATTTCACGATGATAAAAGTTTCTTGGATAATATGAATAAAGGAAAAGCTCAACTCTACTCCCAAGGTCTTTCCTCAATTATTGATCCTCCCGTCTAAAGATGTGTGATCTTTACATTTAAAAATCTTATGTCTTACTCTTTCTATGACTTATATTCCATCACTATAGAAATTAGTCAAATTTAATTTAAATTAACTAATAAATAAATAACGAACGCAACTAAAAAATAATTGATATAATTAATTATTGTTATTTCATTGAAATTTTCATTTTTAAATATATATTGTTCGTCTCTTTTAACTTGGAAGATAGTATAAAATAAAAATTAATCCAGAAACACGTTTTAGTTTTTCTGTTATTTTAAATTTTAACTTTTAAATAAAGCGTGGATTTCGTTTTTAAAAATAGAAAACTGAAAAGAAAAACTCAACTCCTAGCTTTTATTTCCTATATTCCTTTTTTTAAAGGTTTATTTGCTTTACTGTGGCTCCTCCACCAAAGCTAAGTCTCAACGCGTACTTCCCTTTTCTTCGTTTAAAAAAAAAAAAAAAAAAAAAAAA